GCATCGTGGACATTGGGCTTTAGGGCGACGTCCCATGGAGCGAAATACGCGGAAGCGGAATCAGCGGATCGCCAATCACAAGACCGTTTCGACAGAATTTTTGAAAGGGCTCTATCAGAATAATCTTGCGATTGGCGATCCGCTGATTCCGCTTCCGCGTATTCCGCTCCATGGGACTCCACCCTGACCCTCGGTGGAAACGTAGTCATTGTATTTGCGGGTTCTGCTCTTACAAAAAAGTTGCAAATCGATTGGCTAAAAACCATGCGATAACCAATCGACTCGCGATTTTTCTGTAAAGCCCGCTGCAGACGATGCTATTTTTCCTGCTGGATTGCTTGCGATTTACTAAATTACTAGGAATCCTGAGTGCTGAATGGTGCAACGATAGTAATTTATTAGATTGCAAGCAATCCAACAGGAAAAATAGCATCGTCTGCAGCGGGCTTTAGAGCAGAAATTTGCGCATACGTTTCTCTCGCGAGTAAATTGAAGGATCTAGCCCCTGGGGCCCGATTCTCGAAATCATTCCAAGAAGAAACGTATACGAACATTCTGCTCTGACAGAAAAGTTGAAAGTCGATTGGTTGAAGCCACGCGAATAGCCAATCAACTTGCAACTTTTCTGTAAGAGCAGAATTTTCGCATACGTCTCTCCTTCGAATATATTCAAGAATCGAGCCCCTGGGAGCTAAATCAAGCCGAAGAAATCACTTGGGATACCTGCGCAGTCATTACGATTCCGCGTACATTGAACGGATAAGAAACACAAGACAAAACCGCAAGACGAGTTTTACAAAGGCTGCATTTAACTCAATATTTCATCGACTCCTTATATCTTGGCTTAATTTATTATATTACTTTTATTATCCGGTACTTCTCGTGTAACCCGACGCGGTAATTGTTATAACGTTACGATTGGAGGACGGGCGGAGCGACTTGAAGCCCATTGGCTGTTGCCGGCCTCGCCCGGCGCAAGAATTGTCAGGCGACGTGGCGGAGATGATGGAGTATCGTGGGCAGTGCAAATAAAACGACGTTATTATCACGAGTTCCCGATGTCAGCCAGCGAGGCGCAATAAAGCGGGCATTGTTCCGCGTATTGGACTCCCCGGAGCCCCGGGCATTTCAACGTCGCTTCGATTCCGCCGCGCTGTCACGCGTGGCACGACGTCGCGAGGTCGCAACATGGGTCTGTGCAAGTGCCCGAAGAGAAGAGTAACGAATCAATTTTGTTTTGAGCACCGGGTCAATGTGTGCGAGCACTGCATGGTCACGAGCCACCCAAAGGTATTTTCTTCCCCGCTGTTCTTCCTTCACGGACGCGCAGATAATCTCTGACACGTCGCACGGTCTGTCATAACCTTGCGCGATACGCATCTAATGCCACTGATTTCGCGCCTTACAGTGTATAGTGCAGTCGTATTTACTGTGGCTCCACGACCACGATTACAATCCAATATGCACGCTGTGCTCGGACAAGCTGAGCGACGGCGATTGTATAAGGTTAACCTGCTATCACATGTATCACTGGGTCTGCTTGGACCGATACGCCAGGGATCTGCCGGCCACTACCGCCCCGGCGGGCTACACCTGCCCCACGTGTAGAGTGTGCATCTTTCCACAGCCCAAGTTGGTGTCGCCGGTCGCGGATGTTCTGAGAGAGAAATTGGCCACCGTTAACTGGGCTCGAGCTGGCCTTGGCTTACCACTGGTACGTTTATTATATTTGTATTGTTACCGGCGTTATTTCTTATCAGTGCCAAACGCATCGTCTTGTACCGTACAATTGTTTTGCCGCAGCTAAGCGACGACAGGGAACAGAAGCCAGAACACGAACGCTCTCCGATGACCGTGGAGAACTCGCTGTACCAAAATCATACAGCGGCTATACCGTCGTCACCCACAGTGGCTGTGTCGCGTACGAGCAGCACCATAAATTCAAATTCCATCGTCAGCAACGTACACGCAAACAGTCAGAAGCTTGGCCCACCTTATTCGGTCGTCAACATCGACTCGTCTCTAGGATTATCCACTCCGGCGTCCAGAAAAGTATGCGAAGCCTATGACGACCCGAAGGACGTGTCTTTCGATCACGACGAGAACAAATACCAACGCAAGTCGGCCGTAGAGTGGTTCCGGAGGTGGTGGAAGCTGATATCGAGGGCACCGGTGCGACGGAAAACCGCCGGATCTCTGTACAAGAGATACGCGGTGTTGTCCATTGTCGGTATATTGCTCTTCGTTGCAATTATCTTGTTCTTTTCGTGGCTCGGCAGAATGGCGACGGATGGCGATCCGAGTTTCGACGTGATAGCGAATCCCAATCTGAAATTCGGCGAGAAGTCTGTCATTTAATACATCGTGCGACACAAGTGGTAATAATACTCGGTCCGGTCCGTCGGCGGAGACGGCTACGATAATCTCTGGTAACGCGAAGGGACGTGGCAATCGCGAGTATATACTGAAATGCAATTGCGATATGTGAGAAAGCACAATTTTGTGGGACAGTAGAACATATCTACTATATAAGCTAGCGTAACGTTTGTTAATTTTTATGTAAATTATATATATATATCACATCGAAGTTGTACATTTAAATCTGTAAAGGCTTGTCGATTTATAATCTATGAAACCATTGTATGAAAACTGTCGTACTGAAAACCCGTTTTCTTATCCGCATTATCTTTTGTATGTTACATATTTTAATTTAGATAACGTACCTCTCGTAATTTTAATAGTCACGCAAACGTTTTTATCTAATTTGTGTTATTTAATTGTTAGTTTGTCATTCATATTCTCTATTTTATAATAATTAGTTATTATTTTCGGTATATACTCGAATTTGTTTATTTACTGTAACGCCAAAGTTAGTCCAATTCTTTTGGCAGATAGCGTTAACTCGAGAATGTTTTCTCTCGAGAGTTAAAAACTTTGGAAGGAAAGCAAAGTTTGGTATCCCTCCGAGCCGCAAACATAGTAAGGACGTATACGATTCGATACGCTCTTTCCCGATGCGGCATATTGAAATTCAAATGAAGGCTTTCCAATCCCTATAAACTAACCCATGAAATATTAAAACGCTTACAAAACAACCGCACGTACATATACGCGAGGTAGTACAGCTTATCTACGTTTCTTCTGTTGTTTCTTTTTATAGACGTTTATTTAGAGCAGCGTAACATTCTTAAAACAGATAAATTGTTATTAAGATTTATTCAAGTCAGCACTTTTGTTGTAACGAATGAAATATAAAATTTTAATATAAACGTCCACGCTTATTCGATAGCAGAATAACGTTTCTATGGCTGTATTGCAATATTAATTTGCTAAATTAGCGAATTTATTCCCCGAGGTACATACGAGAGGTTCATACATCGACGTTCTTTCTCTCACTCTCTCGAACGTACGAACCGAAGTCGAGTATTCCGGTATTGAAACGTTTTTGAATATTGAATTTGAAAAATTGCGTTTTATTCTAAACATTCCATCGCGTAGATTACGTCGAGAAGCAACGGGCACGGCACGACGCCACGCCAATCGGTGCGTCGGGTTCTTAGCGTTGTAGAGAGGCCGGCCACGCAGGCCGGAATGACCGCGTAGGATCATTCTCCTCATTCCAGCGGACGTGGTGAGTACAAGAACCGATCGTGCCGATCCCCACATTTTCGTATCGTCTGCTGTACGCGCGTGTTACTATTGTCTCTCATTCGGTCGACTCGTCAACGAAATGTACATGTATTATACGATAGTTTGATATTTTTTACTCCACTAAGCGCGACGAGATTTAAATCCCCCCTTAAACCAGCCGCTAATTAAACTTAGCAGTGGTATATTAATATTATAATTTCTTAGTTAATAATGCAACTGTTACATGTTATATCACACTTTTGTCGTTTAATGGGGAATTATAGTATTGATACAAGAGCACTTTTAGTTGGCGTTTATCGGGTAGCGAACGGCCCGAGACCGGTTTGTGTTGTGTACGTCGTTTAAGCTAATGCTTGTGTATCGGGCAGGCCAGCGCCTGTAGTAGGTGAGTGTCCGGCAACGTAATTTCAAGATGAACTCGGTGGAACAAGTGTACGGCAGCGGATGGGCAGCGTGGTGGGGAAAACATTGGACGGCCTCACAAGTTGGAACGACAATTTCATGCAATGTCGCGTATCTCGCGGATGCCGGATACACCCGCAAAGCCGCGGCGCTTTCGATGATTCTGCTGGGTAAGAGGATCCGTCCGCTAGCCTTGCTTCTTCCGTCCGCTGACTCGGCTGAATCGAAACCGAACGTATTCCCCGATGATCGCGCCTTGAAGCCGTTTCTAGATATTACGTGATTTGAAGAGACCATTGCCGCGCTTCCTTTGTATTTAATTCTGTAAGAAAAAGACTATGTGCTGAAAAGATTAAAACGTGGATTAACAAGTCCGCAATTTGCGAGATGCGCTTTAGACACGATTTCGTAGTTAACTTAGTTTTCTCAGGTACGTGTAGACTTTTTCGTTTGCTTAATTTTACGGAAAGTTACGCAAACTGAACGTACCAATTTTCCTATTGACAATAAAACACTCGCAAGTGTAACGTCCCAACTGGAGCGACTCGAATAAGACCGGTATTCATGGTCAGATCTTATATTCAAGACTGCTTAAGATCATCTTTAGATACTTTGCAGCTAATGAAATATTCCATACAGCATACTTAAATAAATTTGCCTAAGGCCGGTATTCATAGTCCGTTTTTATATTTAAGATCATCTTAAGTATACTCGTGTTTTTAACCAGTCACAGAGCCGTATAATCCTCTTAAGACACCACTTGAGATGATTTTGAAATAAGAATCGACTATGAATACCGGCCCAAGAGTTTAGATAGCCGGAGTCAAAAGTGTCCAAGAAAATTTCTCGTTGTCCCTTTCTTCCTCAGGTGGTGCCTCTCTGTACTGTTTCTTCAGTCGTCGGCGGAAAATAAATGCACGGGATCTTATCGTTATAACCGGTTGCAATTCCGGTTTGGGCTATAGTCTAGCGATGCACTGTCGTGCCAGGGGTGCAACGGTTTTGGCTGGAGTGCGCGAAAGAGGCGCATTGCTTAACACCAACGCCGCTGTTAAAGCGTTGGAGAACAATGGCGTCATCGTTCACCATCTCGACGTCACGAATGAACAATCCGCCCGAGACTTTCGAGACAAAGTTGAGGGCTTGCTGGAGGAACGGCAGTTAGGTGAGCGCGATGTTAAAAGAACGCATGTCTGGATGTAAGTTTACAGGTCTGTAAGATTTCTTCGTCGCATCGTCCGCAGTGCTGCGCGCGTTGGTGAATAACGCGGGGGTGATGGTTTTCGGCGAGTTCGAGTGGCAGACGCAGAGTCTCGTCGAGCATCAGGTAAACGTGAATCTGTTGGGGACGATGAGAATCACGCGGGAGCTGATGCCGACCTTGCGGGCGAATCGCAGCAGAATTATCGTGGTGTCCAGCCATTGCGCCGCCGAGTCTTTGCCGGGCATAAGTATCTACGGAGCGACGAAGGCCGCCCTTCACGCGTGGACCACTGCCCTTCGGGTAGAGGTCGGCAAGTACGGCGTCGAAGTGGTCTCCTTTGTACCCGGTACGGTTCTCGCGTTTGTCGCCCCGATTGTCCCCCCCCCCCCCCCAGA